GTTGACATATCATCTTAAATTTATTCGTCTCCCTTTTTTCCGTTTTTTTGTGGTTAAAAATACACATAAAAATCAATGTTAATTAGCTGAAACCCCCCTTTTTAGAGTGTGAAACCCCCTTTTTCAGAGTGGAATACCGACTTGCTCCCGCTCTTTAAAAAGTTTCTGATTTCACTCCTGAAAATGACAAGAATGTATGCATCATTAAACATTATGATCACAATAAATTGGAAATATTTGCATACACGTGATAAGTAAAGTAATAACTCCCAAGCAATCTGATTACGGATGTTCTCTCCTCTGTTTCAAAATAATTTGGCGGGAAATGGTTCTCTCTTACTTTTTCGTACCTTTAACATTGGCACTAAAGTTTTTTCTTTCAAGAACTATGAAAAATAAAAAGGATTTCATAAGATTTTCAAAAATGTTTTTTTAAACTATGTGTATGAAAAGTAGTGGTGAGCAGGCAAAATTTGTATTGGCACTACATATATACAAATATAAAACTACAGGATTCCGAATATCTGACAAAAAGTCAAAAACAAGAGTAGCAAACATCCTTAAAATTCAGATATATCGTAGCTCGCTTAATTACACGTTGAAGAGCTTAGCGAAATAAAAGAACTATATCTGAATTAGATTATGCCCCAATAAACTTTTTGAAATTGCACTACCTCCTAAGAACATTGTTTTCAGATGATTGCTGTTGTTCGTCTTAAAATTACTGAGCAGTTGCACTAACAATTCTGCTGACACTAAAGTTATGAAATTTGGCTGGGCTCCACAGGAAAATGATTTGTTCAATGAATGTATAACACACAAGTCGGTCATAATGAGATTGTATCTTATACATGTTATATGACCATCAAGAAATTCATATTATACTCATTACTGGAACAATGAAATAAATGTAGAAACTTCCAAATGTTCTGCTGTGTCACGGGATATGATATAAAATTCATTTATATTCTTATTGTGATATATGCATTTGTATTAATGTCATGTATAATTAATGAATTATAGAATCATCAAAGAAGACAATAAAATATTGAACTTGATCACAAACCACGTACTCGCGATCGATCAATACCACAAACAATAAAAAAGTGCAGCTATGATGTCTATAACCCCAAGGGTGACTGGGAAATAGAAATATGGTCACTTTGGTCTTCTTCTGATCGGTAGTAAAATATGATCTAAGTGGGTGTCTGTTTAGCTGTGCGGGGTGTATAGGTACGCAGACACGTCTATGACAGGACCTACCTATTGTATTTATTGTTCAGAACATGCATGAAATATTTGCCACTGGACGTTAAGCAATCATCAATCAATCAGTCATATAACATCTATACTGCAGCCCCGAATAAACATTACATAACGATTACTTTGAACTATGATAAATCGAGTTTAGAAATACCATTATAATGTAATTGGTCGCATATTAATATCAATAGAGGCATTCCTACTTTTGACATATAAGTTATTCTTTTCTTACTTTTCGAACTATCAGACATATGATAAAGTGCATTTGTATTATGCGATGGAATAAAAAGTTATACACTCGAGTAATGTTTAATTTGAGATTTTATCTGGTCAATGGGAGATAATCCACTTTAAACCGTGTTCTTTCACCAAATTTATACCGGATACATCAAATACGTAAGGTAGTAACTTAAGTCCTGTCGTCTCTATACAGGGGTGGTTGCGTGTCCGTAAAGCTGTTTACCCCCCGCAACCTGCAGTGGTTGTCTTTAACTGCCGTCTGTCGTATAATTTGTTTTTCAATTATTGTTTAAGCATCTTATTGAACAAACAGTTTGTTGATTTTCTCGTTTGCCGGGCCTTTATATAGTTTTTCTAAATTCTTTACGGATTGGAATTTGCTCATGGTTGGTGGCCGTGTGGTGACCTATAGTTGAGGGTCTGAATGGGGATAATTTTTTTCTTAATTTTTTTATTTTTAGACCATTTTTCTCTTATCTTTTTATAATAATCAACCAATTTCCCTCACAAAAGGGGGGACCCGGACACCCTGCCCCCCCCCCCTAAATCCGCCTCCGATGCTTGATATTGTAGCACCCAATTATTCATCTATTCTTTTTGTTTGCCTATTATATTTATTTGTTTTCCCTTTAATCGGCACCTTTACACATTTTTCTCTATTCTGTAAATCCAATCCAGACCCTAATAATTGCTTATATCCACGTATTTAATTGGAATCTAGTGGATAGTTTTGGCGCAATATCTTATACGAGTATGCATGATGATTTGCAGTGAAGAAATGTTCCAAGTACATATCTTTACACGGAATTAAATTGTCTCCTTGTAAACCTGTTGCTCTCAAGGTAAGAAGAAACGTAAAAACAGCGCAAGTAACCATTGGTCCATAATTTTACTAATTTAACATGGCACTTTTAACCTGAAAATTGTTAAATAATAACGACACCAATTTTACTGTACCAGATGCGCATTTCGACAGTTTATGTCTTTTGTTGATGCTCGTGGCCAAAATATTTGAAACTATGATCCAAAACCTAGTCACATAAAGGTTGAAGTGCTGATGAACCAAAAAAAAAGTATATAGCCAAATCAGGAAAAGGAATCAGAGCTTTGCATGAGGGAAATACATTCCTTATTTTAAAATAATTTCCAAACAGTTTAACTTTTATAACAGCAAATCTAAATAAAATATCCAAAATTTCATGCCAGTTCCCGCGAAGCTATCGCAAGTGTGCTGGTGATATCCTCGGGGGCTATACTGAATAGACTATTATTATTAGTCCAACCAGAGTCACTGGTCCAACAGCAGAGGTATTGTAGTAATTAAATAAACGGTACCAATTTTACTGCGGACAATAATTGTCTCTTATGTTCTCTGCTTGAGAACAAATAATTGAAAAGTCCAAAACCAGATAAAAACGTTGAAGAGATGGTCATCCCAAATAGACCTAAATTACGGGCAAATCCAAACAAGGAATCAGAGCACTGCGTGAGGGAGATTTAACTTTAAATTGATTCCGAAATAATAGATAAACTTTTCTATGAACTAAAAGTCTTTCATTTCAATTTTTTATTTCCCATATTTATTTTTTTTGTCATTTTTTTTCGGCGCCGATTGCCGCCTTCGCCACTAGTCATCTTATTTTCCATGAACAGAGGGCTAGTGCATCTTATAAACTATACTGTTATTGTATTGTACAAGAAAGGGCACATATTAAAATATTTTATACTTATTGACTGGGTATGAGTGGAATAGTAAGTTTATTGTCCCCCGAGGTGCAACTATTGCCCTGAGGCGTAGCCGAGGGCAATAGTTGTATCCGAGGGGACAATAAACTTATTACTAGTATTCCACGAATATCCAGTCAGTAAGTGTTTTATTATATCGAAAGAGACGACAGACAATAAATGTCGGGCTAAATCAACTATCGTAATATAAAAAGCAGAAACACAACCATACTGTTTAACGTTTACTTCATATTTTGAATGCTAAGGCTACGGTCCTGCACTGACGTCAACCCTAGATACAATAGGTAAAACGCGACGTCACAACTCCCGCGGTATTCTCAACATCCTCCAATCCCGTAGCTGCATTTGAAATTCCGCGAAATATAATGACGCTTGCGGTCAAATAGTTTCATCGAGGTCCAATAGTTGGAAACTATTGACCGATCAAATAGTTCAACGCTTGCAATTTGAAAAATAGTAAAAATGTTGTGTACTATATATTTTATATAGAAAATGATAACTCAGGTATAACTTGATAAAAAGCTGATATGGATCCTATATTTAATATTTGGGAATATTTACTTAAATAAACCCACAGACCTAACCATCCTATTTTGAAGTTACCCTCATCCTGGGTTAGAAATAGTATGTCTTTCATTTCTGCGTGTCTGATAATTCAAGAAATCTCTCAGTGATAATTTTTGGTTAGAATGATAGCAAATTACGGAATTATCTCCCCTTAATTGTTAAAATCTAGTGCATTTCAACAAATTCCCTGATTTCTATTAGACTTTATCTTGAATTACCAGAACAGGAAAAGGAAACGAATGTTATATTCGTGCACCATTATTGATTTTGAACATAAATTAATGTCAACTTGAGTGAGTTTCTGTTTGTCATGTTTTCACCACTGCCTGCTTCTTAGGCAGAGTAGCTGGCACTTAAAACGAAAAACAAAAATTATATGTATAGCTAAAATCAGAGACATATATTACAATATATTTCTGCTAAAAATATGGCATTCTGTTGAGGAATTTATTCCCTATTTACAAATGATCAAAAAATATGGTCTATTGATATGAAAAAAATAATTAAATATGATCTTTGATCTAAATTATATATGTGTTTTATTTCGGGATAATTAAGAATAAAGCTAAATGGAAAGAACATTAACTGTTTACACTCTAAAATTTTACGATCTACATTTAATCATCGTTCAAATATATTTATTTTAAGATTTATTTTTTTCTAATGTGTGTTGAATCGTGTTATTTTATGTGTCGGATGGATCAGTTATAATTTGTAATTAGTCATCGACAGCGGATGAATATTCCTGCATCGAATTATTAATTTTGCTTTGTTAAAATGGTGAGTTTTTGATATGAGGGCAAAAAATTGTGAAAACAAACACCACACCTGTTGTTTTATTTTTTGTTATGAACTTTTTCTACAAAGAATTTGACTTAAACTCAAGGGAATATCCCCATAACATCAGAAAGTTAGTATATTTTCTACTGTGCGCATGTCCCCATTGCAGTTGCCACTCGCGCACCTCCCAAAAGAACGATAAAATAATCAACTAAACGAGATATTATGACCTTAAAATAAAGAAAGCAGTTCAGTAATTGATCTCAGCATGCCTTATTGTTACTGAAATAGTGTTTTGCAATCCCATTTGATAGTTCTAAGCGATTTCCTATGGTGACCAATTCCTTGGACGCGCAAGTCCAAAGCCGGACGCATGTCATCTGAATCCCATTTGTTTTGCGCATGTTGACGAATTTTGACAGATAATTAGAAAGCAGTAAACACGTGGAAGTGTTTTCATAAAATGAGTCTTTATATTCTGACTAGATCAGCTAAGATTTCGACTTTTTTCACAAGGTGCATAAAATAAACATAAAATGGCGACCATTTAAAATTTGAATTAACTCCCTTACCAATGGTATTTACATTTTTTACACTACAGTTAAAACTGGTGTCAATTAAGCACTAAAATAGATGTCACTCGGGATTATCACAAATATTGAAAATCAAATTATACGAACATAAAATGATGAATCTAATGAGAAACAACTCCAGAAAAATTGGACAAAAAAGACCAAGTACACAAAATACTGAACACAGACCGAAACTTGTTAAATTATAGAATTTTCTATATCCAATACTTGTGTTATTCCATCAAAGTAAGGAGGGATTGTTCAATGACGTCTTTTACTCCCGATTGCAACTGATGCTTACAACTCATTCATCAAAAACAACTCGAGATTGGTGTTTAAAACAGGGAAGGCTAACACATGTTTCTAAAAGGTTAGAAGTTCCAACGGATCTATTGAATTTGGTGACAAAATATATATATATAATACACTACAAATGATAGTCCAGCATGTCGAGGGCCAGTTACCTGCCATTCTATTCAATGACGGAAGCTAGTACAAACAGTAGTCTGCTTAGCTGCGGAAGCGTAGCTCTTAGGTCCTTATGATATTTTTGGACAATTTGCAGACAATAAATATCGGGACCTAAAAGCTACGGTTCCGCAGCTACAGACTGCTGATATCAGGTAACAACTACCTACATATTAATTAGCAACGTTGTCTCGAAGATTTGAATTTATCAACAAAAAGATCATGTCAGATGACTGGTCAGAAGTGATGATTTTGTCTTGACTCTTATGTGTTTTAAGATCAATATAAACATTGAACAACTTAAGAAGAGTCTTAAAGATGTGGTATGATTCCTAACTTATGTGGGACAACTATCCACCAGAGTCCTAATGACATGGATTTGAGCAAATATAAGTCACTGTTCAGTCTTCAAGAATAAGCAAAACCCATTATAGTTGGCTATGAAAGGCTCTATCATGAAAATGTCAAACAAAAAAAACCAAAGATTAATGTGTATATATGCATTTACTGTTAAAAATTTTCAAAATGGGGACTCCTTATAAATTGGCAATTGGGGAGGGTGACATTCGCTATTGCTTGCAGTAGCAATTCTAGTACAAAAATGTAATCCTTTTGCTAAAAATATCAATGTGAGGTACATGAACTACAATATTTCTTTCTTTTTGTAGAATGATTGAACAAGAAAAAGATAAAAAGGCTCTCAGAGCTAAATCACAGAAGGAAAGGTTTCAATATGGAGTTCAAAATGAATACCATACAGGTGACAACTTCAGAAGGAATTCAGATTGGACACCTGACTAACAGTAACAACAATGCCTATACCTCTGGTATGATGAGTGACGATATCAGTGAACCCAGTTCTCCAGAGAGTTCATTTGATGCCAACGACTTATACAGTAATGCTGTTGCTGATGATGTTACAGCACAGTTGGCTGCTGCAGGTAAATTTTATATCAGTGTTCTGCCATAGTCAGAGTAAGTTTAAAAAATGAGAAATACCTTCTGAACATCCAGATTTTTGTTTCTGGACATTAACTTTTGCCATAAAATATGATAAATGATATCCATACTAAACTTTGTTGGATAATGCCCCACTGACAGTATTTGATCTAAAACTGAAATTTGGGCAAACACAATTGAACACTCACATTCACATTTTTATTTTAAGTTTTTGATTATAGATATTGTTGCTAACAAAATGTAGTTTCAAGTTTATGATTGCGCAAACAATTGTCATGGGTGTGTAGGCTTACGTGTATTATTGAAGAGCCCGTGGTCATTTCATTTCATAGATAAAGATGATCACCTTGTTTGCATCAGTAGTTGGCTTGCAATCACCTTTTTATCCATAAACTGCAAGAAAAGGTTTACAAAACTGCTTGCAACAAATGATATCGTTGTTATACATGTATGAAACAAAAGGATTGTCACATATATGAATTTTGTAATACATGTACATGTAGTACAGCCATCATTGTTATGAGATATTTTCAATGTTTTGTAGAATATTTTTGACAGAAATTATCAAAATATAATTGTAATTCAGGTTTCAGAAGGTTATTTAGTCTTTATCATAAACTCTGTTTGAAACCCGAGTTAATTTTGCCAATGCATATAATGTCTCCTAATTTAGATTTTTATTTTATTTACACAGGGCCTATTGGTGTAGCAGCAGCTGCTGCCATTGCCTCAGCCCGGAAGAGGAAACATCCACATCACTTTGAGACAAATCCCTCAAAACGTAAACGACAACAGACCAGACTTCTCAGGTTGGTTTAAATGGTATTTCCCAGATCTGGTAGTTAGTAAAACATACACAAGATTTATTCAAACTCGTACAAGTCCTGGAATCCTGGAAAAGTTGTGGAATATTATTTTTTGGGAAAAGGCCTTAAAACATGTCCAATGTTTTCCCTAGGCTATTCAAGCATTGCGTTACCGCTACGCATAAATTTCGACCCCCATGCTTTCATCATTGCTGCAATGCATCCCGCTATGTGTGAAAATTATAACTGTGAATAATATTTATTATGGATATTTTGAAAGTGAAGTGACAAGTAACAACACTCCACAGGTGTTTTGAACACATCCGACTGATAATTGGATGCATCACGTAACGCATGCCGGGATTTTACAACCTTCTTGATTAGATGGTTATACATTTGTACATCGAGACTTCGGTTACATAATAGAAGTTGCCAGTTAGCTGATAAATAAATAGTAAGATTAATATCCAATGCATATCTTTCTGTGCTAAATAAAAAGTTTAACCTTTTCCAGTATAAATTTCACCAAAAAACGGGCCGGTGTTTGACATCGTTATTTTACTGTGATCTTTAAAAAGTAAATTAAAAAAAAACCAAAGGGACAACACTTTTTGTTGTTCTTTATCTCAAAGTGTCTTAAAAGTGAGGCCTTCAACTTGGAGCAGAAAAGCTCTCCTTTCTATTTTGTAGTTTTGATATAAATTGAATGATTAATATGTATATATATAATGTTATTATGTACAAGTACATGTGTGCTCATTTCAGGAAGTTGAAGGCAACCATAGAAGAATACACAACCCGAGTTGGACAACAGGCCATTGTGTTGTGCTGTACTCCTGGTAAAATGTCACAATCTGTTCATGCATATAAAGTTTTTGGATCACAACCTCTTGAGAGTGTGGTAGGTACTAAATGTACATATAAAAGGAGATATGAGATATACGTTAATGAGAGACTAACCAAATGACATCTGGAGGGCAGCATACAGTTTTCAACAATAGACATTTGTTTATACACTAAATGTTATTTTTATTATGCCCCGCCGTAGCGGAGGGGGCATTAAGGTTTTACCCTTGTCTGTACGTCCGTCTGTACGTCCCAAAGTTGGTTTCTGTTCTCTAACTTAAGTTTGCCTCCATCAAATGTTATGAAACTTATACACAATGCTTATTACCACAAAACACAGATCAAGTTTGAATTTTGGTGGCGTCCCTTTAACCGTTCTAGAGTTATGCCCCTTTACAAATGGAAAAATTGCTGAATTTTTCGTTTCTGTTCTCTTACTTTAGTTTGCCTCAACCAAATGTTATGAAACTTATACACAATGCCTATTACCACAAAACACAGATCAAGGTTGAATTTCGGTGGCTTCACTTTAACCATTCTAGAGTTGTGCCCCTTTACAAATGGAAAGATTGCTGAATTTTTTATTCAGATTTGACCCAATGTTAAACTATATAGAATTTACTGTAACATGGTCATGATATTAAACAGAAATGGCAGCATATAAAGTAAAACCAAGTTGTTCTTATACAACAGATGTTTGGTATTTACAGGTTCATTTACTAAAATTTTCATCAAACTATGTCAGACTGAGATAGTAAGGAAACAGCTACAACAATTTCTTGTTTGACACATTCTTGATAATATTGAATTTACGTTTGAAAATAATAAATCTTAGGTTCAAAATTGACGACTGTTAAAAAAATTCCAAGTGATTACTAAAACTATAATTTTGGTTGACCTTGGAAAACTTATATTTCAATAATATAACTTATTCATTTTGTGAATTTGGTTTGGAATATAAGAGATACTGTAAATTCAGAAATTTTTGTGTGAATTTATTTTTTAAGAATGGACAAAAATGCAAGATTAATTATTGAGATTTCAAGAATATCTACATACAGATATATGTATCAGATATCAGAATGTGAGTTCTTATTATGGCAATACTGACCTTGTCGCAATATTCGCATTATTAAAAACCTCGCAATAATTTTTTGAATTTACAGTAATTTGGAATTCATACACTCCCCAAGGTCTAAACAATAGTTTCATTGTTGACTTTCAAATAATGTAATTTATTTTATGCTGTGTATGTTATTTTGGAATGTGAGTCAATAAAGGATTAATCACTTGACTGTGGCTTTAAAAATCATGCAAATATGACAATAAATCTAGTTAAAATTGTAACTGTCATTAAATGAAGTCTATTTCACTGTAAAAAATATGAAATTTCTTCTACCTCTTCTAAAACTAAGTAAAAATTCTAGTGAAAAGACAGTTGAACAAATCTGGTTGTTTTTAGATGAATTTTGCAAAAATATATAACTTTCCAGTTGAAGAACAGCAATGAAAACTCTTTTCCTTTGATGTATATTTATTTTATTCTACTATTTCTTCATATGGCTGTCTGTTAGTGTTATTTGTCCATGTGTATCCTTTTTCAAAACTTAACCATTTGATTTTACAAAATAAATTTGTTTAGAAATAGGACAATGAGTCATTATTTCCATATTTTGAGCACCTATATGTGTTTACCTTTAAGCTTGCTTAGTTTGACATAGGATGGACAGTATTGTTTTATTGTTTTGCAGATAAGAAACAATAAACCACTGATTCTTCAGGATTTGGAGACATCTTTAGCAGAACAAGCTCCACCAAGTCAAACAGATAATTCTGGTTTGCATGAGTTACCTCCCCTGGTGATTGATGGTATTCCTACACCAGTAGATAAAATGACACAAGTAAGATTTTGAAAATAGGTCTGTTGTCTTCAAACATCCTTTGAATCTCCCAATTTTAGATTAATAGATAATTTTCATTGGGATCTTCTGCAGTTGACTGGAATTGTGGGTGGGTAGAGATACATGTAGGTAAAAGTGCAATATAATCACCATAGGCTTTTGCTGGTTAACTGTAGTGCAAACTATTATCTACATGTGTTTTATGAATAGACACAACATAATGAAAGCAGATACAGTAAACATCCTTTAAATACTTTCAAGTAATTTATTGACTATTTTATTGTACCCTGTTTATAAAAGAATTTGTTTATAACCATGCTTTTTTAGAAGACCATTTCATTAAAAAAGTTATAAAAGTACATGGTGTATGAATTTATTTGTTTTACCTTCAATTTTATGAACAAAGGGGAATAACTCAATTCATAATATTGCCAAAAAATGGTTCTTTGTTTGAAACAGTTCAATGTTTAATTTTAAATTCAACAATCTTTATAGGTAAGTTCTTATTCACAGTGTTAACATTGTAGATTTTTGAGAAATATGAGACTAATTTATCACAGTTTCTTTGAAAAAGTCATATTTTATCTTCAATAATTGTTGATTATTATTTGTTAAACTGCCAATTGTTATTTCAAATAAATTGCAAATCAGTTTGCAATTTAAAAAGTTTTTATACTTTTTATCAAAAGTTAGTGCTTTACGCCTGTTAACAATAGTTATACTGCATCAATAAAACTAAAAACATCAAAATTATATGAATGTACAGAAAATTTGATGGAATCCCAGCAATCAGTTAATCAAGCAAACAATACTTGTAAGGCCAGACTTTTTTTATTATCTGTTTAACGAGATCCACCAACTCCAATTTCCCGATTTCAGAATAAAAATAAAAGAAGTGCTTTTTACTTTTATTTTTATTTTTCCCGCCGATTGTTATGAAATCCTCAGAACAAAAATAAAATCTGTGGTTTATAATACCCGCTTTCGTCATCGGTAATATTTAATTTTTACCAAGTCGATGAAACAGCAATTTCAAAGTAAAGAAATTAAAGGCATAAAGGATTTATGACTTCAGAAAAGAGGTTAAAGCATTGATTTTTTAAGCTGTGGTATGTTTTTTCATATAAACAATTTGTTTAAAACCACTTTCGCAGGTACTTGTTACACGAGAGAGTACATTAAATCATTCTAACTTTCGGATAAATAAGTTATTACTTCATTTGAACTTGATGAAAATAGCCTGAAGTAAATTTGTAATCCATGTATTGCATTAAAAACGTCATATTCCTTTCCAAAAAGCGTATCAAACATCGTTTATTTTTGTAAAGTTTTCTCCGACATTTAAATTATTGGGTATATTTTTTGAAGAACTACGGATCGGAGTCTGGATTTCATCGGAAACGGACCCGCTATGACCGAAATCCGGATTCTTGCGATAATGACTAGGGACGCATGAATGGCACTGCTGACAGACAAAAATTGATCCCAAAAGGAAAAATTATGCATTCCACACGCATTAACGTACTTTTGGTTAGATATTTTTGATTAATGTTTATATTTCCTTTTTAATGCATTGTTTCAATTTATAAGTTAATGTTGCTCAACCATGTCTATTACACTAATATAAAATAATTATATTATTTCCAAGATTAACGGTTAAATGAATATATCTTTTTAATGAAAAATAATTAATTTCATGAACATGATAACAGAGTAGTTTTTTTAATTGAATTGTATATACAGTATAAACATGTAACATACACTAAGAGGTTCCTGACTGGTAATATACATATATATAGTGTATATGCAGGGAGGTTGATATATTTGCCAGGTGCATATATATACTTAACATACTAGTAGCTTTTTACATAAATCTATTTTTTTTTCAGGATATCCCTCCACCCAAAAAATTAATAGTTTCTTATCATCCAGCATTGTGTGATCGTAATGTATAGTCCACTTATAAATAAGGGAACATACAGAATCAAAAGATATTTTTTTATGTTCATATTAATAGAAGGTTAATATACTGGTCTGTTTACATTTCATTGTTCTTGTATTTTGATAAATTCTTAAAAAGAAAAAAAAAAAGAAAAAAAAAGTCACTTATAATGGTTTTATTTTTAGTGTCGACTGGACCAACTTTGCACTTTTTTTTTTTTTTTATTTCGTCCCCTCGACCCTAAGTTTTTACAAATTTTCTCGTTAAACAGATAAAAAAAAAGTCTGGCCTAATGACTAATTAGTTTCATTGTAATTACAATTTACAAATTTTAGAAAATACAGTTTGGTTAAATATATATCTTTATTATCCCCAAGAAGTAACTTTATTTCTATTGCATGTTGCATGTAAGAAAAAAATGGTTTCGAGACAAACACCTGGAGCAGAATTTTGCTCTTAATATCAGTCCTGAATATGAAATGAATATAACTAAATTAAGATTTATTAAGACCTGAATGTTTTGTTATGTATTTCAGGCCCAGCTGAGGAATTTTATCCCAGAAATGTTAAAATACTCAACAGGTCGTAGTAAGCCAGGCTGGGGAAAAGAAGAATGCAGACCACCTTGGTGGCCTTCTGATTTGCCATGGGCTAATGTCAGAAGTGATGCTCGCACAGACGAGGATAAAAAACGGGTAAATGATTACTTTCTCAGAGCATTCAGCTAAAAATACCATGTTAACTTTGATATCACTTTGCCTCTATCAGCAATTACTGTGAATGTGTTTCTAGGTACCTTTTTTATTGACCAAGATGAAGTACTAAAACACTTAGTTAAACACTGATGCATTTCATTGTGCTTGTCCTAAGTCTGGAACCTTGTCTTAAAGTTATATCTCTATGTTAGTATTTTTATCCCTTATAGTATTTGTGTTTTTGGAAGATCTTTTGGTTGTCTCTTTTTTATGATTTACTGAAGAGGCACAAGCTCAGGTTTGAATAGAAACAAAAAAATAGATTTGTGATTTATGGAATGTTTTGAAGTGAAAGCTTTACCATATTAGAAGATTTATTTTCATTGCAGTTGACTGATTTTAGGGGGTGAAGATTGTTTAAAGTTCTATCTAATCCCTACAGGCTTTTAAATAATTATAATATTATACTAAAATGACATGAACCATATTTGCTTTGATTTATTTGGGAATTTTTGGAACTTTTTGTAAATGCTGTTAGTGTTAATATCATTTATATAACCTGATCTTTTATTTCCCAGAACAGGACACTAAAGAAGAAAAAGAATTTCATCCTCAACTTTAATTTTGCAAATTTACAAATTCTATTCTTCACTAGATACCCTGTATATCTCTCTTTTTATATTTCTAATCTAAGTGGGTTGATTCTGGACTTATTGTGCAGCTGCCTTTCGTCTTCATATAAGATTGATAAGTATTTTTCTATAGAAATAGTGTCCATTTATTAGTCACTTTAGGTTTGCACTCCATCCGTCTGTCTGTTTGTCCGTCTGTCCATCCGTCAGTCTGGCAAATCAGCTTTCCACACTTTTTTTCTTCGTTCTTGAAGATATTGATTTAATATTTGGTATAAAATTTTATCATTACAAGTTATAGATCAAGTTCGAATTTTGTTTCGATCTGATGATTTAGTCCAGAAATATCATGGTCCATATCTAATGTTAGAGTACTACATTTTGTATGTAAGGTATAAACAATTAACCAAAGAATGTCTTTAAAAAAATGAGTTATCTCTCTTTGTACAGAAAGTTCAAAGAGAGATAACTCATTTTTTTAAAGACATTCTTTGGTTAATTGTTTGAAGTGTTTTTTATTTTGTGTAAACTAATTTTCTGAATGCTATATACATAAAAAAAAATTATGAAGTGAAATCTTTTAATTAGATAATAATCTATTTTTATTAAGGTATATATTTCATTACATTACATTGTGTAGATAAAAATTGTTGACATTTTATAGATAAGTTACAAATCTATATTAGTTTGTGACAAATGAAAGAAAAAATATTTGGAACTATTAATTATATTTGATTATAACTTGAAAATAAATATACATTGTATTACATCATATCTAATTTTTGAGAACTATTAATCACATCTAATGTTAGAGTGTTTTCCACACTTTTTTTCATCATGCTTGAAGATATTGATTGATAATTGGTATATAGTTTTATCATGACAAGTTACAGATCAAGTTCAAATTTTTGTTTTGGTCTGATAATTTTGTGCAGAGTTATGGTCCTTGGACTTGAAAAATTCACTCATATAATCAGTTTTCTACTCTGTTTTTATACGGCCGCAAAAAAATTTTGCGGTCGTATATTGCTATGACGTTGTCGTCGTTGTTGTCCGGTGTCGTCGTCTGGCGTAGTCCTTGTTGTCCAGCAACGTCGTCGTCGTCCAAAGACACATTGGTTTTCGCACTCTAACTTTAGTTGAAGTGAATGGATCTCTATGAAATTTTACCATAAGGTTCAATTCCACAAAAGGTAGGTTGGGATTGATTTTTGGGGTTATGGTACCAACAGTTAAGGAATTAGGGGCCAAAAAGGGGCCAAAATTAAGCATTTTTGTAACTTCAAGACATAACTTGTGTGTTAGTGTATGGATCTCTCTGACATTGTACCAAAAGGTTCCATATCACAAAGGGAATGCTGGAATTTATTTTGGGGGTAATTGCCGCAAAATTTTAGGAATTAGGGGCAAAAAACAAGCTTTTTTCTAGTTTCATGACAATAACTTGTGTGTCAGTGTATGGATCTTTCTAAAATTGTACTACAAGGTTCCATATCACAAAGGGAATGCTGGAATTGAGTTTGGGGGTAATTGCCCAAAACGTTTAGGAATAAGGGGCCAAAAATAAGCATTTTTCTAGTTTCCAGAAATAACTTGTGTTCAAGTTTATGGATCTCTCTGAAATTGTACTGCAAGGTACCATACCACAAAGGGAAGGCTGGGATTGATTTTGGGGGTTATTGCATCAAAATTTTAGGAATTGGGGCCAAAAAGGGGCAAAAAACAAGCATTTTTCTAGTTTCATGACAATAACTTGTGTGTAAGTGTATGGATCTTTCGAAAATTGTACTACAAGGTTCCATATCACAAAGGGAAAGCTGGAATTGAGTTTGGGGGTAATTGCCCAAAATGTTTAGGAATAAGGGGCCAAAAATAAGCATTTTTCTAGTTTCCAGACAATAACTTGTGTTCAAGTGTATGGATCTCTCTGAAATTGTACTGCAAGGTACCATACCACAAAGGGAAGGCTGGGATGGATTTTGGGGGTAATTGCCCCAAAATTTAAGGAATTAGGGGCCAAAAAAGGGGCAAAAAACAAGCATTTTTCTAGTTTCATGACAATAACTTGTGTGTAAGTGTATGGATCTTTATGAAATTGTACTACAAGGTTCCATATCACAAAGGGATAGCTGGGTTTGAGTTTGGGGGTAATTGCCCTAAATGTTTAGGAATTTGAGGCCAAAAAGGGGCCAAAAAACAAGCATTTTTCTAGTTTCCAGACAATAACTTATGTTCAAGTGTATGGATCTCTCTGAAATTGTACTGCAAGGTACCATACGACAAAGGGAAGGCTGGGATTGAGTTTGGGGGTGATGACTCATAAGGGGATTAAAAAAAAAAAAAAAACCAAACATACAAAAAAAAAACCAAACAAACAAGCAAACAAACAAAAAAAAACACAGGAAAAGCATTTATGACATCTATAATGCTGTTGTGTACCTTAGTTCTTGACATGTTCAGAATTAGAATTTCAATTAAACCAAATTTAACTAGATGAATCAATTTGCTTGGCTTTCATTACATTGAAAAAGCTTCTTTATAGTAATAATTACTTATAACAATAATGATGATATTTTTTTATTTACAGGTATCATGGACTGAAGCTTTAAGAACAATTGTTAAGAACTGTTACAAACATCATGGAAGAGACGATCTTTTACATGTGTTTCAAGACGATAATCAAAGTAGTGCTAATCAGACGCACCATGTTCACCATCAGCCACAGAACTTTGGTGGAACAATGGTACAGACCATAAACAATCCTGACGGTACAGTGTCGATTATACAGATAGATGCAGCACCACAGTCAATCGTCACTTTACCAGACGGCACACAAGCCACTGTTGTACAGTGTGTAAGTATCTCCCTCATGCAAAGCTCTGATTCCTTGCTCGGCTTTGTCTATACTTTTTTGTCCTTTTTGGTTTATAGCTATCCATCTTTTTAATAAGCTTTAGATTTTAAGATATTTTGGCCACCAGCATCACTGAAGAGACGTTGATTGCTGCAGAGAAATTGGTACCTTTTATGTTATAATTATTGTCTCCCAGACAACAAAGTTGTACAGTACATATTAAAGCTTTTGTCTGTCCATTATTCTGTCTTTCATCCATTAATTTTTTTGGGAAACATTTTCAAACCTTTAAATTTGAATGAAGACATATACACATATCAAAACTTTGGACGATTGAAATTATCAAACAATTCAGTGATTGAGAATCAAATGTTTGTTTCTCTTGTACGAATAAATCTAAGATAATTTATTCATTTTACCCCCACTGAAAGAAAAGGAGGATGTTATAATGGTTTCACTCTGTCCTTACCAAATTTTGTGACAAAATTTTATTATTGCCGAAATTTTTCACCTATGCTTTCTAGAAAATTGACATTGCACTTGCATTGCTTGTTTAAAATAAGCCAACATATTTGAAATTTAAGACATGCTCAACAATTACTGGTGTAGGGGGAATAACTATGATTAGTTCAGAAAACGGTATCTAATGATAATTCTTTCTTGGCGGTTTGATATGATAAGCAGCTTAATTAACAATTTTTTAATGTACGTTAATTTTGTCGCCTAGATGGAGCCAAAAAGCGAGACATAGGTACTGTAATTTCAGAAATTATTGCGAGGTTTTTATACGACTGCAAAATTTTTGCGGTCGTATATTGGTATGACGTTGGCGTCGTCGTTGTCATCCCAAGACATTTGGTTTTCACACTATAACTTTAGTATAAGTTAATAGAAATCTATGAAATTTAAACACAAGGTTTATGACCACAAAAGGAAGGTTGGGATCGATTTTGGGAGTTTTGGTCCTAACAGTTTAAGAATAAGGGGCCAAAAAGGGCCCAATAAGGCTTAAATTAAAATATTGTTTGTTTGCAGTTTACCGACCGACCTTCGAAAATCCGCCCGACTGTGAACATTTTATTGCTTTTAATTTGAAGAAATTATTTTTTAATACTTCTATTGACGCAATCCGGAATTTCGGGTCGTTTCCGTAATTGATTTCGAGTCTACGTCAATTAATAGTTTGAAGTTCGGTTTTTCTTCCCTTCCTGTCAAGCGTACTTCGGACCCTTTAATGGTAAAGCACATGGAGATAGTTTACAGGTATCCACGAAGTCATGGAGGAGTACTTTATTCTGTCGTCTTCTGTCAATTTTAAGACAGATAATACACAGAAAAGTTTCATAGTAAACTGTTTATACTGATTCAGGCAGAATTGCACACGGAATGATGTCTTCGATGTCAGATATCATTGACGATGATGCAGCGGATATTCATAAAACCAACACGATAACCGTTTCTGTCTCAAACAAATCAAATACAGAATCTTTTGAGACTGACTTTATGGAACCAAATGCAATATCAGTGGTTCAACAATTTGACGGCAGCCTGAAGTATGCCATATTTTTTTAAATCGTTGTGAAGACGACAAAGATGAAACTACTCCTCCGTGACTTCATGCATGGATACCTGTAAACACGCCTGTACGGTGGAAGGACGCATTTGAAATGTTCAATCAATAAGAAGCCACACAAACTACACAAAGATGTAGAGAAAATGAATGGTTGGCTTGAGAAATAAATATATTCTCTGTATCAAATCTATCACCCATTGCAATGAGTATGCTCCTTTAGGATAAGGGGGGCTGTCCCACTCATTGCAATTATTCTCTCTCTTACAATATTAAATATCAATACCCAAACTGTGTGGCCTGTGTGAATTGAATTGATATATGTCCTTAGCTAGGAGCTATGCTTCCGATTTTTTTATGCAGTCAAAACATTTCAGTACAGACCATTTACTTTTAATGGGGTGCTATGGATTTCACCCCAAAGCTAGTCTTAAGATTTTTGTTTGTTATTATTAAAGCCTGGCATCAACATATCTTTCCAAATATAACCTTTATATAAACAGTCAGATGTCTAATATATTTTTTTAAGTTGTCTTTTTTTTTCAATTGAGGAAGATTCAATGGTCGATTTTTTTTTAACACACTCCTAAATTATCTTTAATATCTACATTTTTCTGATGCAAATACTCTACTCATGAAAACATTCTGGTAAAAATGAATATGTTTCTTTACAACAATTCTAGTCATTTCTTGTTTATAAGTGTTCCAGTATTTCATAATACCATAATTTTATGTCATAAATTGTATAATGCACTATGTTGAGTTTCAGTTTTGGTTAAAAAGGTGTTTACCTGAAAATGCCTGTTCATTTCATGTTGGTTTTCAGTGTTTGTTGTTTTAAAATGTTTTTTTCTTCACAAGAAACTTGGTTTGTGTTAAACTGCTTGTTTAAACTTTATTCTGGCTGATAAAATAAAATATTTTTCCTACCTACCGACCCTGCAGTCTGAAGGTACAGTCGGAAAACTGCAAACAAACATATTTTTAAGGTTGGCCTAAGCATTTATATTGGTTTTCGCACAATAACTCTAGTATAAGTAAATAGAAATCTATGAAATTTTAACACAAGGTTTATGACCACAAAAGGAAGGTTGGGATTGATTTTGGGAGTTTTGGTTCCAACAGTTTAGGAATAAGGGGCTAAAAAAGGGCCCAAATAAGCATTTTTCTTGGTTTTTGCACAGTAACTTTAGTAAAAGTAAATAGAAATCTATGAAATTTAAACACAAGGTTTATGACCACAAAAGGAAGGTTGGGATTGATTTTGGGAGTTTTGGTCCCAACAGTTTAGGAATTAGGGGCCAAAAGGGTCCAAAACTAAACTTTGTTTGATTTCATCAAAAATTGAACTATTGGGGTTCTTTGATATGCCGAATCTAACCATGTATTTAGATTCTTAATTTTTGGTCCCGTTTTCAAATTGGTCTACATTAAGGTCCAAAGGGTCCAAAATTAAACTTAGTTTGATTTTAACAAAAATTGAATTCTTGGGGTTCTTTGATATGCTGAATCTAAACATGTACTTAGTTTTTATACGACCGCAAAAAAATTTTGTGGTCGTATATTGGTATGACGTTGGCGTCGTCGTCGTCGTTGTCGTCCGAATACATATTGGTTTTCGCACTCTAACTTTAGTTTAAGTGAATGGATCTTTTTGAAATTTGACCATAAGGTTAAATACCACAAAAGGAAGGTGGGGATTGATTTTGGGGGTTATGGTACCAACAGTTAAGGAATTGGGGGCCAAAAAGGGGCCAAAAATGAGCATTTTCTAGTTTCCAGACAATAACTGTGGAACGGTGTATGGATCTCTCTGAAATTATACTACAAGTTTCCATACCACAAAGGGATGGTTAGGATTTGCTTTGGGGGGTTATGGCTCAAACCGTTTAGGAATTAGGGGCAAAAAAGGGGGAAAAACAAGGTTGTCCTGGTTAATGGACAAATACTTTAGTACAAAACATAATTTAAAGCAGTGTAAGGGAGATAAATCAAATACATCATTGAAATTATCTCCCTTACACTGCTTTTAAATTATGTATAAAGTAATGGTTAATGAACAATAAAGATAATCTAAAACAGTGTAAGGGAGGTAATCAAAATACAATGTTTTGGTTACTTCCCTTACACTGCTTTTAAATTATGTTTAAAGAAATGCATATTTATAAAGGAAGACCAGTAAAAATATCTGCAAATGTTTTCATCTTTTTTTTTTACAAAAAAATCCATATGAAAGATTTGACACTATGTTTTTATTAATTCTATTATAAAATAGATTAAGTTAGCACTATGGTAAATTTAAATGGGTAATTATGGTTGCCAACTCCATTGGAAATTTGAATTGAGATTATGACCATATCTTGAGGGAAAGAATTTTTTTGGGGGAAAAAGGGGGGGTGGGATAAAAAGAAATTGTGGGGGGCCAATTTTTTCTCATTTCAGATTTCAGAAATTAAAAAGAATTATTCTTCAAATATTATTTTTTTTTTCAAATTTCAAATATTGAAAAATTTCAAGAAGTAATCTTTAATTGCACAGTATGGCGCATTAGATTTGTAAAATCTTTGATCACATTTATTTATTTGTTATGCCGAATCTAACAGTGTATTTAGATTTTTAATTTTGGGTCCAGTTTTCAAATTGGTCTACATTAATGTCCAAAGGGTCCAAAATTAAACTTTGTTTGATTTTAGCAAAAATTGAATATATGAGGTTCTTTGATATGCTGAATCTAAACATGTATTTAGATTTTTGATTTTTGGCCCAGTTTTCAAGTTGGTCCAAATTGGGGTCCAAAATTAAACTTTGTTTGATTTCAACAAAAATTGAATATATGGGGTTCTTTGATATGCTGAATCTAACCATGTATTTAGATTTTTTATTTGTGGACCCCGTTATCTAATTGGTTCATATTGAGGTCAAAAGGGTCCAAAATTAAACTTTGTTTGATTTCATCTAAAATTGAATTATTGGGGTTCTTTGATATTCCAAATCTAACCGTGTATTTAGGTTTTTAATTTTGGGTCCTGTTTTTTAAATTGGTCTACATTGAGGTCCAAAGGGTCCAAATTAAACTTAGTTTGATTTTAACAAAAATTGAATTCTTGGGGTTCTTTGATTTGCTGAATCTAAACATGTGTTTAGATTTTTGATTATGGGCCCAGTTTTCAAGTTGGTCCAAGATAGGGTCCAGTATTTAAACTTTGTTTGATTTCAACAAAAAATGAATATATGGGGTTCTTTGATATGCTGAATCTAAACATGTATTTAGATTTTTGATTATGGGCCCAGTTTTCAAGTTGGTCCAAATTGGGGTCCAAAATTAAACTTTGTTTGATTTCAACAAAAATTGAATATATGAGGTTCTTTGATATGCTGAATCTAACCATGTATTTAGATTTTTTATTTGTAGGCCCCGCTATCAAATTGGTTCATATTGAGGTCAAAAGGGTCCAAAATTAAACTTTGTTTGATTTCATCGAAAATTGAATTATTGGGGTTCTTTGATATGCCAAATCTAACCGTGTTTTTAGATTTTTAATTTGGGTCCCGTTTTTTAAATTGGTCTTCATTGAGGTCCAAAGGGTCCAAAATTAAACTTAGTTTGATTTTAACAAAAATTGAATTCTTGGGGTTCTTTGATATGCTGAATCTAAACATGTGTTTAGATTTTTGATTATGGGCCCAGTTTTCAAGTTTGTCCAAGTTGGGGTCCAAAATTAAACTTTTTTTGATTTCAACAAAAATTGAATATATGGGGTTCTTTGATATGCTGAATCTAACCATGAATTAAGATTTTTTATTTGTGGGCCCCGCTATCAAATTGGTTCATATTGAGGTCAAAAGGGTCCAAAATTAAACTTTGTTTGATTTCATCAAAAATTGAATTATTGGGGTTCTTTGATATTCCAAATCTAACCGTGTATTTAGATTTTTAATTTTAAGTCCCGTTTTTTAAATTGGTCTACATTAAGGTCCAAAGGGTCCAAAATTAAACTTAGTTTGATTTTAGCAAAAATTGAATTCTTGGGGTTCTTTGATATGCTGAATCTAAACATGTGTTTAGATTTTTGATTATGGGCCCAGTTTTCAAGTTTGTCCAAGTTGGGGTCCAAAATTAAACTTTGTTTGATTTTAACAAAAATTGAATATATGGGGTTCTTTGATATGCTGAATCTAACCATGTATTTTGATTTTGGACATTGGACCATAATAGGTAAATTAAAAAAATTCAAGTTCTTAGACCACATTCTTTCTGTGTCAGAAACCTATGCTGTGTCAAATATTTAATAACAATCCAAATTCAGAGCTGTATCAAGCTTGAATGTTGTGTCCATACTTGCCCCAACTGTTCAGGGTTCGACCTCTGCGGTCGTATCAAGCTGCGCCCCAGCGAAGCATTTTATTTGATTATGGGCCCAGTTTTCAAGTTGGTCCAAATCAGGGTCCAAAATTAAACTTTGTTTGATTTCAACAAAAATTGAATATATGGGGTTCTTCGATATGCTGAATCTAACCATGTACTTAGATTTTTGATATTTGGGCCCGGTTATCAGATTGGTCCTCATTGAGGTTTAAAGGGTCCAAAATTGAACTTTATTTGATTTCATCAAAAATTGAATTCTTGGGGTTCTTTGATATGCTGAATCTAAATATGTATTTAGATTTTGGATATTGGAATACCACAAAGGGATGGTAAGAATTGTCTTTGGGAGTTATGGCTCAAACCATTAAGGAATAAGGTGCAAACAAGGGGGGAAAAGGGTTTCCAGGTTAATGGACAATTACTTAAGTACAAAACATAATTTAAAAGGCAGTGTAAGGTTGGTAATTGAAACTCATTTGAATATCTCACCTAAACTGCTTTCAAATTATATATATTGGAAATTTGCCAAAAACTTTATTATTAATAAATTCCATTGGAAATTTGCCAATAACTTTAGTTTAATGAACTTCATTGGAAATTTGCCAATATAAAATGTTGCTGATGAAGCTTTTTTGTTTATCTCACCTAAACTGCTTTTAAATCATGTATATTGGAAATTTGCCAAAAACTTTATTATTAATAAATTCCATTGGAAATTTGCCAATAACTTTAGTTTAATAAACTTCATTGCATTTTTTCTAGTTTCCAGACAATAACTTGTGTGTAAGTGTACAGATCTCTCTAAAATTGTACTTCAAGGTTCCATACCACAAAGGGAAGGCTGGGATTGAGTTTGGGGGTAATTACTCTAAAGGGGGGGGGGGGGGGGGGGGGGGGTTTCTTCAAAGTTTTTGTAATCTTCATTTGCACAGTATTGCGCAACAACACAGTATTGCGGAATAGCACAGTATTGCACAATAGCACAGTATTGCGCAATAGCAAGAAATCTTCAATTACACAGTATTGCGCAATAGCAAGAAATCTTCAATTGCACAGTATTGCGCAATAGCAAGAAATCTTCAATTGCACAGTATTGTGCAATAGCAAGAAATCTTCAATTGAAAATAAATACAAATCTTTTAACCAATTTCAATGGGATTAATTTAAAGTCTTTAATTTTTGGGGGGTCTTACCTTGTATTACTTTTTTGGATATTGGGCCCCATTTTTGAAGTGGTCTACATTGAGGTCAAAAGGGTCCAAAATTAAACTTTGTTTGATTTCATCAAAAACTGAATTATTGCGGCTGTATGATATTATTGTGCATTTAGATTTTTTATTTTGGGCCCTGTTTTCAAATTAGTCCGTATTAAGGTTTGAAGGGTCCAAAATTAAACTTTTGATTGATTTCAACTAAAATTAAATTTTTGGTGTTTTTTTTATATGCTGAATCTAACCATGTTGTTAGATTTTGGATATCAGACCATTCTAGGTAAAATGAATGTCCCATTTCAAATTTTTAAGCATGACCACATTTATTTTGTGTCAGAAACCTATATTATGTCAAAATTTTTATCACAATCCAAATTCAGACAGTATCAAGCTTGAATATTGTGTCCAAACTTGCCCTAACTGTTGAAGGTTCGACCTCTGTGGTCGTATCAGGCTGCGCTCTACGAAGCATTTTATTATTAATGGGTATAATGTGACTGTGTGAGTATCGCAATTATAAGAACTCCCATTCTCATATTTGATACATATATATGCACACATATTTTTCCTATTTCGCAATAATTAATCTCGCATTATTGTCCATTCTTCTAAAATCGCAATAATAAATGCACACAATAGTTTCTGAATTTACAGTATGCTGTTTCTGGCGGGGGCGACGGGGGCGTCAACAATGTATTAGTTTGTGATTAGGTCTAGTTTATGGTGAACCACAAGTGGTAGGTCAGTGATATTTGGTATGCAGTTGTATTAGCATTGGCACATCTCATTTCCATGGAGATTATTTGGCCCTGCCCCCTCAGTCATGGTCTATTGACTGTGAAACTTTTGCTTAGTTTACATGTATTAGTTTGTGATTAATGTTTGTGTTTAGGTGTGTTTAAAGAGAACAATTTATAATAAGTCAATGGTATTTGGTATGCAGTTGTATTAGCATTGGCACATCTCATTTTCATGGAGATTGTTTAGCCATGTACCTTCAGTCATAGTTCATCCACTTTGAATATTTGCATAACTTAAGTGTTAAAGTATTGCTATTTTAATTTCAACATTTGCATTATCAAAATTACAAAATGGCGAGACATATCTCAGTGCTAACAGTTTATTTAAATCATTGACATGATATCAGATTGGTTATTGAACAATATTGGAAAATGCTGTGCCAATGAAGTTGATTAAATTATTGATAGAAAATGATGTACCAAAGAAGTTTGCAACCTAATAGGAAGGCAATAAAGTTCTCATGGATACAATTTATCTTAGAAAAGGATATATTTTAAATGAAAAAAGGAGGAAACAACAACATTTATATATTTGTTTACTTGATTTATCTGATGTTACAAAAATCTGTCAACTTATACATTTATGTTATTTTGAATAGATAAATACACCTCAACATGAGGCAACACAAGCAGTACAGACATTGGCTGAATCCTCATCCAATCAAAATACAGATATGTCACAGTCATTTAACAGTCAGATTGGTACTGTAAGTCTAGATATGGGTGGTGATAATCCTTCACAAATGGCAGCTCTTCCAATCAACCAGAATGGTCAAATCGTATTTACAAATGATGGACAGATAGGAGGTAATTAAAAACAAATTATTACTGACTTTGTATTTCTGACTTTGAAAATAGCTTGAAAAAACTTATGCCAGAAATTGTTTTTGTGTATAAAAATGTGTGTTAATATATCCATTACCTGACACTATTTTGTATAAACAATAATGTGTGACTTTGTAATGAAATAATTGGAGACTGGAAATGACCCTTCATTACAAGAAGTTTTGCACAATTTAGACATATTTTTTCTGATATTTGAATATGTCTTTTCAAGATGTGTGGACACATTGTTGGTACTTTTAAAATGTACTGATATAAGTAAATGTAAGATTAATAAATATCCTGCTTAATGAACTGAACTAAATTTAGGAAGCTTACCTAGAAATTATACACATTTTAATTTTCAGCTTCAACAATGATTTTTTTATACAAGTTTTTGGGGATAAAACAATGTTTTAGATTTAATATTTAAAGTCTATATACATGGTTTAGGTTAAAAATATCTCTTCATTAAATTGGACATGTACAGTACACTTTTTACAAAATTTCTTTTTGATACTTCAATTATGAAACATTTTTCTTCACAATAAATTTTTTGCATTGTTAGAAAGTTTAGCCCATGATTTACAAAAGAAGTTATTTTCAATCAGTAATATCACATTTGAAAAATAAGGATGTAACTAAAATTAACTAGTTTTCCAACACACATTTTATCCTGTAATTGTCTAATGTTATAGCAGCAATTTCTTATTTGTACCAATTGTCTAATGATATAGCAGCAATTTCTTATTTGTACCATTATTGGAAAACAATATTTCGTATTAGTTCAATAATGCATAACCTTTCTGTTTTCTTCTTTTCAGGAATAGTAACTATTCCTGTATCCATGTACCAGTCAATGACTGGGACGTTAACGGCCATTGATCCCTCACAGCTGTCTCAATCAACACCCCAACTCACACCACAACAAATACAACATATACAACAACAGCTGCAGCCTCATCTTGCACAACACCTTGGTCAGATAACCATGGTTTCGGCACCTAGTGAAACCTCTCCTATGGACATTAAACCACAAACATCATCAGTACCTGATGCCACACAGGCTGTAGAAGTCATGACTGTTGATCAGCCACAGTGAATCTTGTTGTTTTGGTGCATAATTATAACTTTATGTTTTTAAATTGTTGTTTTTGGCTTTGACAAAAAATGCTGTGTTCCCAGTTACAGAGACGAGTTAATTTTTACTTTGTAAGACTTTGTTTTGTATGTTACACCTGAAAATATTTCTATTTTGAATTAAGAAATAATTCATGGAAGCCATAGATTTGTTGGAAATTTACACATGGCCTGGGCCGTGATATTCGAATTTTATCCTGAGCGTTAGCGAGGGATAAAATTAACGAATATCACGGCCCAGGCCATGTGTAAATTTACAACAAATCTATGGCTTGCATGAATTATTTCGATTCTAATAGGACAAATACGGTCATTAAAAAACTGAAGCGAGGGTGGGTATGCTGTGTGTGTGGCTGTTCTTTTTTACTCCCTGTTAGATAAAGCTAAAACATTCTAATAAATCTGTAGCTTGCATGAATTATTTCGTAAACAACCACTAGAAAAATGTCCTAAATTCTTTTAATTCTCAAACCCAACATTTGCATGTTTTTCTCGTAAGCTACCGTCAAATCCAAAGTTGACATTTCGTAACTAAGGAGCCGCCATGTTGACTTGCTGAAATCAGTAAATATGCGAATAATGCAATAAAATAGAAAATAAAACAACACCTACCTCAAAAATCCATTTTAATGGAATATTATACGAATTTCGATGGTTCACGTAACGGAAAAACCTTCAGCTTTAGTGTTTTCATTTGTATGACGTCATGTTTTGAAATGACTTAAATGCGCCAAAAGCATTAATGGACTTTCGCGGAATTTTATTTTATTTTGATTTTGTAGATTTCTCTGAGCTCTTGTGCATTAATTCTTTTTGTTATGCATCCGAATAAGAATAAAAGTTCTGTAGTCTTTTTTCAATTGCAATTTTAAAAAAAATAAAATCGGCATTGCGTTTGCAAATAGGTTCCAATACATGTGGATTTACGAGGGAGGTATATTGTAACATCCATTATTATATATATCTCTGAGTCTGCGCTAAGTATAGATATATCGAGAATTTTATCATGGTGTTGTTTACAAAGCGAAAGAAGCACGTCATATTAGAATAGAAGACAGTGAACATATAGAATTCATTGAAAATATTTGTTAAAAGGTAGCAATATCTTAAATTCAAGCACCAGTGTCTGTATTTAGGTTTTATAAGAGCTATCTTGATTTAGTCTTGAAACAATAAGGTTTAAAGTAAACAGTGCATTCTCGCTTTGGTAGGGTTTATGTTGCTCAATCTTTAGTTTTCAGAGTATTGTTTTGTAAGCTTGTTTTTATACGCCCATTTATGGGACGTGTTATGGTATACCGTTGTCTGTCTGTTTGCCGTCCTTTGTCAACATGTCGGACAATAACTCAAAAATGCTTTCACCATTTTTCATGAAACTTAGGTGAATTGTTTATATCTATTCAGTATTGACATTATTTTCATTATGCTTTTTAATTTTTTTAGAAGGTAAAGAACTTACATTATTTTTAATGTCAATGAAGTTTTGTTGAGGGTCCCAACCATTTATGTAATATCCTTTATGGACACAATTGAAAACATTTTTTCTGCCAGAAAAAAAATCAAAACAAATGACCAGATATTGCTATAAAAATGTTCCTGGAAACACAGCACTTTTTCCTTGGCCTTAATTGTATTATACTGGTAATTTATGTGCGATATGAAATAATACGATATAATGTCACAATTTTTATTGGAAATGCTATTAATTTTATATAAAAAATTGTAAATAAATATGATTTAAATGTATTTATAGTCTCTGTTCAGCCTGCTAGATCACTATAATGGTATTTTAAAATAAATGCAACTTTCTTGAAGCTACTCTTGTGCCAAAAGTTGAAAGAAATACCAAGATTCATTTTTGCTAATCAAGAAATATGTCTGGATTAACCTTCAGACATATGCAACCAGCCATAAATTTGTGTCAATGAAAGTTATGAACTTTATAGGTATTTATCAAAAAGGATGTCTGGTAAGGCCATTTTTCAAGATTTGCACAGTACAATATTAATAGATTACTTCTCTTTAGAAAATATCTAGATTGCTTTAAAAAAAAGTATAACAAAAATACCAAACTCCAAGGTGAATTCAAAAAAGGAAAGTCCATAAAAACGGACAAAATTTGTTTTTGATTATTATTATATTTATAATATTTCTGTTAGAAAAAAAACCCCAAAATCATTGATTTTAGAAATCTTGATTTTAGTAATAAATCACAATCAGTTCTAAAATAAAAGCAAAAATGTAATTGGTTTGCCTCAATTGGATATCAAATCAATAATATTCAACATAAAGAAACATCCTAAACCAAGAAAAACTAAATTTTGAAATTTATTTGGGAATGCATCCCATTTATGGCTTTTTTAAATTTTCAATCTATGTTTACAATTAGTACATTTTGTAAAACAAAGAATTATAAAATGTATATTTTACAGTTTTTACATGAAAAACTTTAATTTAAGAAGTCAAATAGTTGACTTAATTGCAAATCAGCTATTCACAACTACATGCGCCAAAAAAAGAGGGTTGATATGTCACAAAACAAAAGCAAAATTTAGATGGCAGACGAAAATAAAGATAAAACAAAGTAATCAATATTTTAAGAAATCACAAAATCCATAATCATTTGCAATACATTAAAATATGTATTTTTAGCAATAGATTATTCAAAGATATGCAGTTAAAGTTGACATCTGTATATGCATTAAACTATTGTGTTATGTTTAAAATTGATATTAAAGTGGTATGGGAATATAAATTAAAAATGATAGAATTTGTGCATACTTTGCCAAAACGTAGTATATATTGTGATATGTTCAAAAATATGATAAAAATGATAGGTCACCGAGCATTTTCTAAAGCTACAGGTTGTGACAAAATGACACATTTTGTATGGATTATACCGGAAAAAACATCATTATATGATTAGAAGCTAAACTAAATGATAGAAGTGTTAAATAAAATACGAGAAGATAGCTTTTAGAAAATGCTTTGAGAATATAAAAAGAAAAGATAGGATCACAGTACGTTTTTTCCTGCTAAAATATAAAATAGCAAAATTTCATGTAGATTCTTTCAGAAAATGCACTACTTCAGAGTTACCTCCCCTTAAAATGCCATTTTAAAAACATTAAAAATCAAGCAAACATAATCTATGCTTGTAAAAATATTAAAATTTATAACTTAAAATCTTATAAAATTGTTCTTTTAAATGAAAATTCACATTAGTTAGTTGCATTCCTCATCCAATTTTGCTAACTTGATTGAAAATCTGGACCTTAGGTTCTCTGTTATTTACAATCCAAGATGGCGAAAGACACCCATACTACCTTAAATAGTTACAGTGCTCTAATATTAAAAGGAGGCAATTTAACCTAGTTAATATTCTTTGATTTGAAAAAAAAAATCATTGGTGTGCTTCAAAGTTTACAAAATATTTTCATTACATAACGAAAAGAGATACTGGTTTATGGTATTGTAATCTTAAAACAAATGTGAAAGGTCGTATCTGAAATTAACGTTATTTTTCCAATCTGTTAATTTATGCAAAGTGAGTTTTCCAAATACTTTGCATCCACTGTTGTATAATCTAAACATATTCTGTTTTGAAGCCCAGGTGGACAATTGGAAAAACCCATTTCCATTAACATTTTAAGTGTTTTTATATGACCGCAAAAAAATTTTTGTGGTCGTATATTGTTTTTTTTAATTAGCATATCTGATCATTAGGCAAACCATGCACGATGTCTATTCTCTCTATAAACAGAACATTATGCCAAAAGAGTTAAAATATTTCTTGTTTTACCTTTTCTCTCAATTTATTTTGTTATGCCCCCGCCCTAGCGGAGGGGGCATCAAGTTTTACCCTTGTCCGTCTGTACGTCTGTCCGTCCGTCCGTAGATCCCAAAGTTGGTTTCCGTTCTCTAACTTAAGTTTGCCTCAACCAAATGTTATGAAACTTATACACAATGCTTATTACCATAAAATACAGATCATGTTTGGAATTGGGTGGCATCACTTTTATCGCTCTTTAGTAATGCCCCTTTCTAAACAAAAAATGCTGAACTTTTCGTTTCCGTTCTCTTACTTTAGTTTGCCTCAACCAAATGTTATGAAACTTATACACAATGCTTATTACTATAAAATTCAGATCAAGTTCGAAATTGGGTGGCGTCACTTTTACCGTTCTTGAGTTATGCCCCTTTCTAAATATAAATATTGCTGAATTTTTCGTTTCCGTTCTCTAACTTTAGTTTGCCTCAACCAAATGTTATGAAACTTATACACAATGTTTTTACCATAAAATACAGATCAGGTTTGAATTTTGGTGGTATCCCTTTTACCGTTCTTGAGTTATGCCTATTTACAAATGGAAAATTTGCTGAATTTTTCGTTTCTGTTCTCTAACTTAAGTTAGCCACAACCAAATGTTATGAGACTTATACACAATACTTATTACCACGAAACTCAGATCAAATACAAATTTGGGTTGCATCACTTTTACTTTTCTTCAGTTATGTCCCTTTATAACTTCATTATGTTATGCAAGAGTGGGCCTCATCTGTGTCCCATGGACACATTCCCCATTTATTGATTTTTAATGCATTACTGTGTAAGAAGTGGCACATGATCAAAAAGAAATTTGGGTTATACATCAATGAGACAGCAAACAAATGGAAAATAAAATATATATATAGGGAAACACACAGAGTTCAATAATAGATGCCTGTGAAGACACACAGTATGTCGAGCTCTAAATCATCCTGCGTCTTTAAAAGTTGTTATTATATGAAAAACCCAATAATGGATGTGCTATCAGCAAAATGTGGTTCAAATAAAAAAGAAGCCAATAAGACAAAAAAAAAACCCCAAAATACTAGTATGTGAGATGACATCACAAGCAGTGATGGGGTTCCTGACTTGGGACATGCCCTTGAATATATGATGAGTTAAAAAAACTCTTTTGAGATCTTAACCACCTCCCATTTTAATCTTGATTAGATTGGTCCAATTGTTATAGTGCTGTTTGATATACAAAATATACATTGTGTTTACATATAACTCAGTTGATCAGTAGTATTATTGGTTGATCCCTCTATTAATATTCCAACCGTTTACCAACAATTAGTGATTTAAGATAGGTGAAACACAATTTTATTGCTCGATTTGAAACTTCCAAATTTTCTCAGCATCACTGAAGAGACATTATTGTCGAAGTGCGCATCTGGTGCAGTAAAATTGGAATCGTTAATGCTGTTGCATTCATTAATGACAATTCCTTTATTTAGTTAATATTTAAATATGGGGTATAGAGTGGTACAATTGACACCAACGATTTATAACATTAACATATGTTAAAACTTTTTTTTACCATCAACAACACTTCTGTACCTGTCCTTCATTTCGTTAGTTGATTGGAGTGGTAAGCAATTATCTTAGGAACTTAACCGAACTTCAATACGAAGACTGCTTTAGGAAGTAATTATTTATCTTGCTTTTGATGGAATGTTGGCATTTCATGTAAGAATTTGTATCTCGGCAACACAAAAACATTGTTTTTGAAAGTTTTAAAATACAAGGTATGCTTGTGCAATTCAATGTGTGTAACTGATAGTAGGTTTAGATCAATAGACCAATTATCAGAGCTGATATTTATTCTATATCAATACTAATACTTTTGTGTACGACTGAAACAATAAAACAATTTTTCAATGTGTAACAAATTAGCGAAAGTCTAAATAAACACAAAGTTCAGAGTGTGGATCCATGCCTATTTTTAGGCAGTTAAGCTGCCTTATGCGAGCACCCTAGATTTGTGTTCTACCCAATAAATGCTGAAATACGTGCCATTGTTATTATCTAGCTGGCTATTATGTTATTTATAACTAATTGGACATTTTTTTAATACTTTTATTTCTGGAATACAAAAAATATGACCAGAAAAACCTTAAATGATCGTCGAACTACCCAAAACTTTTGAAGTTGCACATAGGAAGTAGTGCTCAATAGAAATCCGTATGTAGTTTATTATCCCATGTGCTTTTGGCTACGATGTCAAAGAACAATTGTATGAAATATTTCATCGCCGAAAATCGGTAATTACAAGTCGTTTATATTTCCCAAATGGCAAAATGCGCAGGAATATTGTTCATGTACAACAAATCTCTATAATAGAGGAAATAAAGTAATATAAGTGGGCGGTAATTTTTAACTTATCTTGCCAAATAAGGTTGTTGATATTTTATGAATGAAACGGATGCGGAAATCGACGTTGATGGGATGTTTTAAGTAATGGTAACAACTCGTCCCCGAGACAAGTCGGACCGAATCCACTCAAACCGTCTAAGAAGACAACTTTGACCGTTTGTCAGATTTACTTAGGGTTTAATAAAATATTAGACTAACATGTCTAGCGGAGCCATTAATCTTTTGTTTGTGCATTGGGGTATATTTAGTGGTATTTGGAGGGGCCTGAAGAAGGGAGGGATTTACTATAGAACCCTATGGGATTTTATTTTTTTAAATTTTAAATTTTCAAATGAATATTTCTCAAAAACAGTAAGTGATAGACACATGCAGTCTTCAGTAATGAGAACAGGACAATAAAAAAAATCAACCAAAATATAGGGTGAGTCCCTGGGGGTCATCCCAACCCCCTTCAATTTGAAAATGTACTTTTATCTTGTAAACCGTCGACATCCCCACCCCTAAACAATATATATACTTGTATGGGACAATAAAAGAAATC